ATCATATTTTCTATTTTTTGGTAAAATTTCAAGAAGTGTAAAGAATAGGGTGTTGAAAAAGGTTTCAGTTAGCAGGTAGCCTTAAATTTCAATAGAGAGTATATTGAAAACTCAATTTGTTGTTTTTCAAGACCAACTATATTTTTATTTCATCAGTAGAAGCTATACTTAGTACTTTACAAAATCAAATCAAATTTTGAATTTGAACCAAATATTTGAAATTATTGGCTCAAATTTTTAATTAATTTGGTCAAATAATTTCAAATATTTGATTCAAATTCAAAATTTGATTTGATTGTATGGAACACAAGCTATACTTCTATTAAAATTTTTTATACAAAGGCACCACCTTCTGCCAGTTATCTTGTACAAAAATGCTTTTAACTTGCTTGCTGAATATACAAAGGAGTCCAGATGAGAAACCAAAAAAGCCTTGTTCTCTGTAAAAACCATTACTTATATATAGTTGTCTCTTCTATTTTCTCCAAAAAGTTTTCTGTTTTTGTTAATTGTAAGTTTGGTATGAGTGATTGTTAGAAAGAGTTGTATTGATAAAATAAAATTTTTATAAATTTTAAATTTTTTAAATTAGTATAATTTATAAACTAAATACTAGTAAATATAAAAAATATTATAATTTTAATCTAAAATATATATATATAACAAGTTAGCAAAATTTATAATTAATATAATTTTAAATAATATTAGCTTAAAATAAAAGTTAAAAGAATTATTTTTTATATTTATATATTTCAAATATTTATAATCTACAAATTTATAAATTTTTTAACATTTTTAACCTAAAATAGATATTAAATTTACTATATAAACTAGTAATTTTTATGTAGTAAACTACGTTAAATTAATGTTTTATTTTTATTATTACTTTTTTTTACATAATAAACTTAGTTGAAATTTTGCATATTTTTTCTTGATGGTTATACTAAGCTACTTGCGTAGTAGCACAAAAATACTTAATTTTGATTGGTTAAGCTTTAAATATATTAAAAAATTAATTTTTGTAATTTTTTAATTTTAAAAATTAATTTTTGTAATTTTTTAATTTTAAAAATTGAATATTTTTGTAATTTTTTAATTTTAAAAATTGAATATTTTTAAATTTTTTTTTAAAAAATATTAAATCAAAAAATAATAAAATTTTTTTTTACAAATATGTTATATAAGTACTCATATATTATATAATTTTTTTTGATTGCTAAGTAATATATAAAAATTTAAGTTATTATATTTATTTAAAATGTATTAGAAATAGTGTTTCGATCCGAAATCCGACTGTCTGAATTGATCCTTAAATCTAGATAAATTCAGATATTCAGATTAGAGATTTTTATTCGGATTGGTCAAGAAGCTTAAATAACGAACCTAAGAGTGCACACAAAAGCTGGCTTTATATATAATTTAATGCGGATTCAATCCGGATTTAATAGAATCCGGATTGCCTGTCAAAAATAGGATCGAAACACTAATTAGAATTATGTATCATCGTTAATAAGATTACCAATATATAAATATATAAAGTAAAACAATAGACTGTACCCCTGCAATAATATAAAAGAAAATAGCATAAATGATTTCAAAATAACACCCATGCGCGTTCCAAATAACGTGCACCCGTATATGATGTCAACTTGGGTGGAAGCAGGTAAATAATGATTTAAAAAACCAGGTTCGGGAAAATTAACTGCTCTAAATAGCGCGCATATATTCAAAATAACGCGCAATACAGTACTGTGAAGGGATGTTATTTTGGAAACAAAGAATATTATTCTTTAAAATAAAATAAACATCTACGAGAGTTATTTCAATGATAATAATATACGTGTATTAAAAATTTTTTTATAATTTGAAATTAATTAAGTTAAAAAATACATTCAAAAAAATTTTTTTTCGACACAATTAAATACAATTTTCTTTCCACTTGGTATTAAATTTATTAAAAAAAATTTTTTTTTATAATTTTGACATCCTAATTAAGTTAAAAATACATCCAAAAATTTTTTTGCGACACAACTTGGACACAATTTTCCACTTGATATTACCTAATTGTCAGATTCCAAACTTATTATATCGAACAGAACAAAGAATAATAAAGAATAATAAAGAATAATAAAGAAGTAGACACTAACAAAAATATGTAAGAAAAATTATAACCAACAAACGAATGATTCTATTCGAGCACACAGTAGTATACAAGTTTATAATTTAACAGAAAAATTATTTCATACGACTTTTAAAAGGTAATACGTATTAACAATCTACTCTAGTATATTTTACCATGGGATTTTTAGGTTGGACCATCATAGTAGTGAAATCACAATCAGGAAATTTGTTATTAAGTAATTCCAAATCAAAAGTTCTAACAAAAGTAGCAAGGATTGTTTTAATTTGTACATAAGCGAATGATTCACCAATACATCTATGACGACCTATTTTTTGTTAAAAAAAATAAATTAAAAGATTATAAACAAGTAAATTAAATAAATTAAAAGATTATAAATAAAAGAGATTCCAATTTTTACCAGCACCAAATGGAAGAAAAGGGGATCTAGCACTAGCGGAAAGAGCACCAAAACCATAATCCACAAGATCTTCATCACGATCTTTATTTTGTAAATCAAACTCAGTCCATCTGTAAGGATTAAATTCTTCAGCATTTTCAAAATAATCATCAGATCTCGCGGAAAGAGCAGGAACACATTGAATAAAAGCATCTTTTGGAATAACATAATTTGTTCCAGGGATAGGCATATCACGAACAACTTTTCGAATAATCTGAAGAATTGGGGGACGTAATCTAAGAGTTTCACGAACAACATTATCATGAAGGGATAATTGTTTAAGAGAATCATAAGTGAGAGGAGCATCAAGAGAACCAAGAATTTGAATTTGTTCTTGACGAAGTTTATTAAACCAATCAGGATTCCGAGCCAGGTAAAGAAGGGCCCAAGCGCTAGTGGTTGAACTAGTGTGTTGTCCAGCCATTAATATAGCAATCATAATATGAGCAACTTCTATATCAGTTAAATTTCTTCCAGATTTGTATTGACAATTTGTAGCCAAGTATTGCATAACGTCAGTACTATCAGTTTTACCAGTTTCACGACGAGATTTCATTATATCCATAAAGAAATGACGCATCTTAATATGAGCTTTATCACGTAATTTGTTGGAAGGTAAAGGTAAATCGTCGAAAAGAAAATTTACTGGTTTGAAACCACCATCAAGGTCATGAAATATTTGAGCAACTAAAAAAACCATAATAAAAATAAATATTAAATATTAAAGAGATTTGATGAAGAAATATAATTGTAATTGCAAGAAATTAATAATTTTATACTTGCATGATTCATTTACTTTTGAACGAACTTCATCACCCAATAAACATCGAGAAGCGGTTAAAATAATTAATTCAGCCATCGCTTTATGAACATCTTGAATATCAGATTTTTTATTCCATCGAGATAGATAATTTTTAGTTTCCATAGTTATCATTGGAACATAAGCACGTAAATTTTCTACCGAAAGACCAGCTTTAACAAATCTAAAAAAAAAAAAAAATCATTATTTTTAAATGTATATTTTATAAATAATTATTGAGAAGTGAAAATTACAAACTTTTTTTGTTCCATTAAAATTGAATTATGAACATCGTAAACAACACCCTTTCCAAATACAGGTACAGTTAATGATTTATAAGCTTCTTCAGCAGAAGCTTCAGCGAGTTTTGCATTAAAAACAAAGTTATTTCCTTCAGTACCTAAACAAGTAACCATT